GGTTCTCGCCGCCGACGTCGTCGCCGTCGTCGCCCCGGAGGTCTCCGGGCGTTCCTGGTGCCTCGCCGTCGAGCCGTCGCGCTGTCGCCGTCGCCGTTGCGAAGCTGTTTCCGCACGCTCCCGGAGGTTCTCTCCTGTCGCCGCGGCTGGACGCGGCTCGACAGATTGGCGGGGACCGACCGTAGGAGGGGTCTGGGGTTCATGTTGCTCCCATCGTACTCAAGGACCGCATCCTGGATATCATTTCGAGCACGTTTCGAGCACCCGGACATGCATCGGAACAGCGTCGAAGGACTATCGCCTCCCAGGGCCCGACACACGAAAATCCTTCCAGTATCGGTACTTCCTTGGTGTTCGAAATTCTTGCCGGTGGTCAAAGCTGAAGTAGGTAGGAACATCAGAAATCTGGGACCGATGCTGATCGGATGGGGGAGGGTCGCTGCGGAGAAGAAGGGTCCTGAGGTCTTTTCGCCGCGCTCGGTTTTGGAACCCCTCCTGGGCCCCGGGGGGGCGGGCGTCGTCCTAGGGACCGTCACGAATCATTCAGGGTGCAGAGAGCCGATGAACCTTATGTGCACGGCCCGTGTCCCTGTGGACTCTTTCCCGCCGTGACGATGCTGGTGCCCGCGTCGCGCGACGGCCCCACGTCTCCGAATCCGTGATGTTCTGACAACGTCGACCCCCAGATGTCCACAGCCAAGACGCTGAAATGAGGAACGCCTCGGGTGCGGAAGGGGCTCGCTGTTCCTTAAGCTCGAGTGTGGACCCTTCCCCTGGACTGGCGTTTCGCCCCGAGTCGGCGTCTGACGGCCCCGGTGCCCAGTGAGGGCCCCCATGGGGCCGAAGCTGGCCAAGAACCGCATGCCGCAACCCGCTGCCGCAGCGAGAGGGGGTGGATCGCCGCCTTCCTTGCCCAGTGGGGCCGGGCCTGCGCCGAGTGCTCCTCTCGTCCGCCGCGGCCTGCGCCCCGCGAGGCCCCCCCCCCCCGGTGTTGGGTGCTCATGGGCGGGGCCTGCTGGACAGGTCGTTCGTGCTTGGGCGGTGCTCGGCCGCGCTCCGGCCCGCGCTGTGCCAAGAGCTAAGAGGAGGATCGGGCATACAGTCGGGGCGCTGAAGAGGAAACCCTTTTCGTTGGGGAGGGGCTCGGTGTTCCTTGATTGCTGTACAGTTTGCCTTGGGTTTTCTTTTCCTCTTCCATGGGGAATTAAAACTTACCTTATGGGAGCAAGGGGCCTCGTTCCTTATTTGGGGTTCTGGGTCAACGCCCCGACTGTAGCCAGGACCCCAGGTGAGGGGAGCCGGTCAGCGATTGGGCCCCGACGCCCAGAACACGGATCGGAATCACTGAGTCAGATCTGCCGTAGAGTTGGTGCTTTTCGGGTGACGGCAATTCCGATTTGTGGAATGGGACGGGGGGGGGCGTCCCCGGTACAGATCACTGAACCATGTCCAGCTAAAACCAGGCCTGCCATCGCCTGAGAGAAGGGAGGAACATCGAGGATCGAGAAAGAGTTTTTGGACGTGTCTCTTTTTGGGGGCTGTGTGGGGTCTCCTGGGGCTCCCTCGCCGACGCGGACGGATTTCCTTCGAATCTCTGGCCAGGGCGAAAGTCTTCGGAGGCCTCACGCAAGCCCATCCAATCCCACCCAGCATGATCGTGTCTCACGCATCCAACTTCATCCCGCCCCATCTTACCATCCAGCCCCATTCCCTCATCCAACCACACGTTGTTTCAGGGTACTCCCCAAATTTCAGTGGTCTGCTGAAGCAGACGTCCTCGCATGGCCAAGCTGGCCCCCCAGCATCTGCCGATTTGGCCTCGAGGCTGCCCTGTGAAGGCACGAGCGGTCTTGGCTTCGGCGAAGCCGCGTCTGCTTGCTGACTCTTGTGCATTCTCTGACCCCTTCGGGGAGGGGCGTGGGCGGAACGGGGAGCCGACCCGACCGCCGAGCTCTTTCTCTTGGCCGCAGCCCGAGGGCGTGCATGGCCGCCTGGCAGGTTACAGCCGGCCATCGGGTGAATTGGTGCCCAGGGCCAGCGCCTGGCGGAGCTTGAGCGGGGTCCCTTGGCGCGGCCTTAGCCTGGCAGGCGAGGGCGTTCGGGTCGGCCGGCTCGCGCGTTTGATCCTCGCCGTGGGTCTGGTTTTCTTCGCCCGAGCCCGCGCACCCACAGTGGCGGAGCCTAGCGCGAACCCGGCCAGCACCATGCGCTTCTTCACGTCCGTGCCTAGCAGCGCGCATCCGTGCAGAGCGTTCGAGATAGCGCCGCCGACAGCCGCGCTCCTGTGATCTTACAGCTTCGGAGAAAGCCATGTCCGAGCTTGTCATGTTCGCACCCTGCTGGTCTCACGCGTACGGCTTACTACGGGTAGAGCGCAGCGTTGCTGCTTGAGCGCGGCGACAGGGCACCTCGATGGGCCGCGCCACCGTAGCAGCAAAGAGTCGCTGTGTGATAAGGAGGCCGACAAATCCTGGTCTTTCTTCGCCATCCTGCTCCGTTGATTCCGACTCCACTCTCCCCCGCGCACATCAACATCCTCCCCATTACCAACAGATTCGTTGATTCAAGCATGTCGTGACGAGTGCCAGCAGCCGCAGCATATGCGGAGGGTGTCAGAGGGTGCCCCCCCTTTGGCGCCATTATGGGACCTCCTGGGCCCCCTGGAAAATCTGGGCCCCCCCTCCCATGGGCCAGGACCACCTGGAGACCCCCCTGGCCCTCCTCAGGGATAATTAATTGTGATGTTGGTTCAATACGGGATCCCCAGAAGTCCCGACCCTTTCCCGGGGACGATTTTGCATCCCGAGTCGTTTTTGGACGGTCCCGGGGCCCGGCGAGGGCCCCCGGAGACCGATAACGGCGCAAGACTTCCACATTGGGTTTCTCAACACGTTGGATGCTTGGGTCCTTGGGGGGGAAGGGGGGGACGAGGACGAGAGCAGGAGGAGGAGGAGGAGGAGGAGGAGGAGGAGGAGGAGCAGGAGGAGGAGGAGGAGGAAGAGAAGGAGGAGGAGGAGGAGGAGGAGGTGGAGGAGGAGGAGGAGGAGGAGGAGGAGGTGGAGGTGGAGGTGGAGGAGGAGGAGGAGGAGGAGGAGCAGGAGGGCGGGCGCGCGCCCGCAACCCCCCCTGGGCATCAGAGAGGACCCAGGCTCTGAAGCGCCCTTCGCCTCAGACCGCCACGCGGCGCCAGCTGCGTCGGGCGCGGAGGAGGCGCGGAACGGTGCGCGCCCGGGCGTCGGGACCAGGCGGCAGCTCGGGCGTTGCTTGATGGGGGGCGGGGGGGGGGGGCGGCGGCGATGAACTCGAGGGCGCAAAGGGGGATGACAGGGGGCGGGGGGAGGGGATGGCGACGGCGCCATGATGTCCCCCCAGATGTCATGACGCCTCTCCTTCTCTGAACACGTCCCCCGCCCCCCCCCCCCCCCCTGGGCCGCGCACATGCCGCGGGCCATGATTTGCGCTCCCCCCCCCTCTTGGACGCCCCCCTCTTGGACACCCCCGGAAAATGGGAGAACGGTGCACCCCTCGTGCACCTCTGGGGCCCCACGGGGGCCCAACAGGGGCACGAAGCCCAAGCAGCGGAGCAGAGGAAGGCGGCGAGGGGAGGAGGAGGCGGAGGAGGAGGAGGAGGAGGAGGAGGAGGAGGAGGAGGAGGAGGAGGGGGGGGGCGCGTCGACCCCCGGTCGCACACTGATCGTCCTCGAGGAGGAGGAGGAGGAGGAGGAGGAGGAGGAGGAGGAGGAGGAGGAGGAGGAGGAGGAGGAGGAGGAGGGGAGATGCGCTCGAGGGGGGGGGGGCCCTCGCCGCGCCCACGGAACCTGCGGAGTCGCTCTCGGGGGCCCCTCGCCGCTGCACCGGCGGCGTGTCGCCGATGGCAGGCCGAGGTCGCCCTCCTGAGCCAGCCCCCCCCGATCGTTGCCCTTCCGTGTTGCCCCGAGGCGCCCGTCGTTGCCACCTCGGCCGCGCACATCCAAAGCAAGAAACAGCAATAGCACACAAGCTAGCAGCAACAGCAACAACAACAACAACAGCAGCAGCAGCAGCAACAACGACAATCATTTTAAGACTGTTCGCCCTTATATGCTCGAGTGTCCAATAACGCGTATTTCCCAAACCCTCGATACCCGCCCTCTTCGTCTTCGATCGAACCCCTTTTGGGGGGTAGACCTTTCTTCCCTTCAGGCCGGGCCCCGGCAAGCGGCGTGGCGGCCGCGGACCGTCGGCCTGGCCAGCGGCAGCGTCGGCGGGGCGGCCGCGGACCGTCGACCCGACCCCAAGAGGGACGGACAGGGGACCAACCACGACGACGACGACGACGACGACGACGACGACGACGACGACGACGACGACGACGTCGAAGACGACCACGGCAACGACGACGACGACGACGACGGCGACGACGAGCGAAAGCGAGAGCGAGAGAGAACGACAGCAGGGCCACAAGGACACGAAGTAGGGCACGAAGGGCGACAGCGGGGACACGAAGGGAATGCGTATGGGCCCACGAAGAGCGCGAACGACAGGGGGCCACGAAGTGCAGATAATGCGGGGCCACAGAAGGCAACTATGGGGCCACTGAGGGTAGCAACTGGGCCACGTAGGACAGTGAGGGAGACACAGATGGCGACAGCGGGGCCACGAAGGGCATGCACATGGGGCCACAACGGGCGCGACTCCTGGGTGCTTGGGTGTCGGGAGCGCGGCGCTTGGGCAAATTGCATGAAATTCCAACGTAAGGCCATTCTTCAGTAAGTTGAAAGTAAGTCTCCAGCGAGAGCGCGACTCCAGAGCGCCGGGAGAGCGATTCCTGAATAAATTGTAAGGAAGTCCGAAGCGAGAGCGCGATTCCTGAATCAAATGCGATGAAGTCTGGGGCGGGAGCGAGGGTCCTGGCTAAATTGTAAGGAAGTCTCAGGCGGGAGCCGTTGTTGTAACCCGGGGGGCCAGGGGGCCAGTTTGAGCAGCAAGATTTTCCCTGTCAAAAAACAGGGTGCGAGCGTCGAGGGGCACACTTTGATTGAGAAAAAACAGTAAGCACCGGTGGGGGGGGGACCAACAGTAATTATTCAGAAATGAGAGTTCAACCACAACAACAACAACAACAACAACAACAGCAGCAGCAGCAGCAGCAGCAACAACAACAACAACACTTATGTGTTCCAAATGCTCTGTGGCGTATGCAGCGTGCATCCATCATGATACCCCTCCCCTATGGAGGTTGTTTTTGCACATGGTGTAGTTGCTTGCGCTTGTGAGTGTTTCGGAATTTCAATGGCTCTGAATGAAGGAGGCGGGAGGTGATTTGGCGGAGGCGTCCCAGTCAGAACAAGAACCCCACATTTAGGACGTCGGGAACAGGCACCCATGTCCAGGACAGCGAGAACAACAACCCAATCTTTAGGATATGAAGGAGTCACGGCGGGAGTTTGTTGGCCAATTTCGACCTCCAGGGGGCCCTCACCAGGGCCCCGGGACTGTAATAGAACGACTCAGGATTAAGAAGCTGGTCTTGGAGGAGGAGTCGAGACCTCTGGGGATCCACCCGGGACTCGGCTTGCGGCCGCTGTCTGACATAGCTCGAGAGATCGGCCAGAGACCCCAGGAAGGGTCAGGAGGAAAAAAAAAAAAAAAAAAAAAAAAAATCGTCGATTCCCCAGAAAATATTGGAAAATATGGGAAGTGGGGGGGAAGACGAAATCCGGGAAAATATTGGAATTATGGGGAATCCTTTTACGTGTGTGTATTTACTTGTGTGTCCTGGGGCCTTTTCCAAGGGGCCCCGAGATGGAGTTGCACAATATTCTGGCGAAGATCGCTTGAGGGGAGGCAGTCTGGTGTGCCAGCCAGTCGGCAGCGGCAGGCGCAGAAGGCGGTCGAGCTGGCGATCCGTTGCCCCCCCCTCCTCGCATTCCGCATTCCTCGCCCTCCTCACACCCCTCCTACAGCACTCCCTCCTCCCCCTCCTCCCTCCTTAGGGGAACAAAGAGCGGCATAAACATAAAAACTCGGAGGTCCGCGCGGATTTCTCGGATCGGCGCTGGACCCCCCTCCCTGGCGCGCGGAGCGCGCCGGGGGCGGCGCCGGAGGCACCGCCGGGGGGCCCCAGCGCCGATCCGGGAAATCCGCGCGGACCTCCGAGTTTTTATGTTTACTTTTTGTTCCCCTACTCCTCCTCTCTCCTCCTCCCCCCCTCCGCCTCCTCAAGGCTCGAAGCTAACCGATAGTCTGTCACAGGGCCTCCTTCTCCGCCGCCGAACTCCGCCCCGCAGAGGGCGGAGGAGGAGGAGGCGGAGGACCAGTGCAAACCCAAAAGTCATCAACGATGTTGGAATAAACCGTCCCTCCGAGCTCCTTCTTCACAGGCCCCTGCAACGGTTCATTTCCATTGAGGGAACTGCCTCGCTCGAAAACAACCTTTTGAAGACCCTGAAACATGCCAAAACATTGTTCTAGGGATTCCAACTCCACGGATGAACGTGACTGTTGCGTCTTGGCGATCAGGAGTCGCGCTAGAACGCCATTCTAGGGACGGTCCTAGCGGATTCATATGATCAGGTTAGGTTTGTCGCCGATTTTCGCTGCACGCCCGGGTGCCCGGGTGCCCGGGGGTGCCCGGGGCCCGGGTGCCCAGGGGGGCCCAGGGGGTGCCTGGGGGTGCCCGGGTGCCAGGTTGCCCGGGCGTGCCCGGGGATACCCGGGGGTGCCCTATAGCCCTATCGCCCTATCGCCTTATAGCCCTATAGCCCTATAGCCCTATAGCCCTGCAACTCTATAGCCCTATAGCTCTATAGCCCTATAGCTCAATAGCACTGTAGCCCTATAGCCCCCTAGCCCTATAGCCCTGATTGGGTTTTATCTCCGGTCTCATTTATAAGGAACAGGAATGGAGGAGGAGGAGGAGGAGGAGGAGGAGGAGGAGGAGGAGGAGGCGCAGGAGGAGGAGGAGGAGGGAGGAGGAGAGGAGAGGAGGAGGGGGAGGGCGCAGGAGGAGGAGGAGGAGGAGGAGGAGGAGGAGGAGGAGGAGCGAGGAGAGGAAAGGGCGGCGAAGAGCGAGGAGCGAGGGGCGAGGGGGAGGCGGCGCGAGAATCGAGGAGGACAAGGAGCGAGGAGCTGGAGGAGCGAGGAGGAAGAGGAGGGGCAAGGAGCGAGCAGAAGGGGAGCGAGGAGGCCGCCAGGGGTGCAGAGCGCCGAGGGCCCCCCCTCGGCGGGTGCCCGCCTGCGCGATCCAGAGGCCAACTGCTCCGCGGGGCCCGTCGGAGACGACATGTTCAGCTGGCAGGCGGCCGCG